ATGAAGCGTCGCATGAAGTCGATTTCGACAAAAATATTCACGTCGCGAAAACGATAAAGAAGGAAGAGGGACAGATAGTGCTTGAAGATTCGAATGTTCACAAGGAGACCACCACGATCAAAAGCAAAGATATCTATTCAGCCTCAACTCTCGAGAAACAAAGGCAGATGCTATCCGACATGGACAGAGAAGCGGAAATGAACTCGCGTGGTGCGTACAGCCTTTCAAAAACTAAATCGTCCCAGCAGGAAATTGTACTTGACGATCCAAACGTATTCCGAGAAACCACATTAACTCGAAAACATAAAGGGAAGCCTTCCAAAATTTCAAACAAAATATTGAACGACATATTGCTGGACGTTTCCAATCTCGACAAATCAGCTCAAGAATCAGTCGTGAAAACCGAAACGAAGGAAGTTATTCAAACGGGCGGCGATGTAGTTTTCGATTACAAAAAAACAGAACCAGAAACGCTGAACGTGAATTTGCAATACAAAACTCAACCTCAGCGAGAAATCATCATCAACGGCGATGAAACACTTCAAGATTCTACGCATCTGAAATTTGTTTTAGAGAGGCCAAAACTCGTTGAAGCATCACACCAGATAGCAGATGTCGTAACGGATAAAGGAACTTTAGAGCAGGGTGAGTTAGTTTTAGAGGATAAAACTATTTATGAAGATAGAAATAAACCGAAGAAAATTATTTTAGAACACGGGCAAGTAATGCACCTTGCAGAACTAGATGATGTAAATTTGCCATCCGTTGAATTCGATGAAGTCGACGCTAAATTAGAAAAAGAAAATAAAATTCAACCGAGTAAAAAGAAAAAACGATTGAAATTGAAATTTGGTAAAAAACATCAAGGTGAGTCCGTAAAAGATAAATCCTTTGTCTACGAAGATGCCACAAAAATCCGATTTCCAACATTACCAAAGAAAGGTAAAAGCGAGAAGGTTCATTCGAAACTAAAAATTGAAAAAGAAACGAAAGAACAAAGCGCTGAAGATAAACCTTTCTGGAATTGGGGTTTTGAAAAGCAGAGCAAGCCTCAAGAAGAGGTGATAAAAGATGAAACGCATTATCACGAAGATGTCTCTCAGGAAGCGAACGTTCATGAAGTTGCAGTTGACGTTCCCTCTCGGGAAGTGGCTGTCGACGTTCCCCAAGGTCACGAAGTTCAAAAATTTGACGAAGATCTGGGCGACAAATTGGGAAAATTTAAAATTAAATTTCCTAGTCTGCCAAAACCTACAATAAGTTTCGGGACAACAAAGACGCAAGAAGAGATTGTCGTTAACGAACAAGATGTAATTCATGATGATACAAAACTAGCTGTTAATTTAGAACTAAAAGATTCAACTGAAACTGATAATAATAAAAAAATTGAAGAAGTTAAAGATACGACTGAAAAAAATGTTGACATGTCAACTCAAGCCACTCAAACAACGCCTCAAGATACAGATGAAAGTAGCGATAAAAATTCAAAGTTTAAAATTCATTTTAAAAATTTTCACATTCCCAAGCCACATTTTCAGCAGCACGAATCTAAGCCCGCACAAGAAGAATTAGTCATTCACGAAAATGTTTCAAATGAAAATGAAGTTGTAGACGAGAATAAAAAAATTACTTTTCCAAATTTCCATCTCACGAAACCGCACTTGGATCTAAAATCACACGAAATTGATAACCAACTAGTCATCGACGAGACGATAACCGCAATCGAGACATCAGAGCGAACAAAAATTGAAATGCAACCAGCCACACATGAAACAGGAACGACGATTGATGTGCGAAATAACGAATCGTATCTTCCATCCGCAACTTTAAAAAAAACCGAGGTTGAAATGGACATGAAAATAAAGGAAGATGAATTAAAAGCAACTGAACAAATAATGAAACAGACTGAAAACGTGAAGATTGAAGTCTCTGCAAAAGAATCCGAACTTGTGATGAATTTGTCGCAAGCAGAAGTTGCAAAACCTGATGTACCTTTAAATTACGAAGAGAAAATTGTTGAGGTGAAAGATGAGAACATCGAAGAATGTGTGATAATGGAAGAAAAAGTTATTATGGCAAGTAAACCAGAAAAGATTGTGAAACCCGATAAAGAAAAATTTAAAATTCATTTAAAAAAAACAAATTTTGGTTTTGGTTCAAAAGTCGAAGATAAAAAGAAAACAGTGGAAAATGAAGCGGCGACCGTCGACACAGTACAAACTGCAGCCGGAAAAGGAAGCAAATTCAAAATTCATCTACCTCACATCAATTTCAAAAAACCAAGTTTCACTTTCGGCTCCAAACACGAAACAAAAGAAGTGAAAGAAAAATCTCACGATGATAAACAACAACCCCAGCAAGAAATTATTATGAAAGATGACAAACTAGCGGGTGAAATTGTGACAGACGATTCAAATTTGAAAGTTATTCTTCCACAGGCGAATGTTGAAAAAACTGAAATCACCATCGATGAAGTGAAGGAAGAAACGAAGGAAATTGTTTTGGAAGAATTGGCTGTAGTAAAAGAAGAAGCTAACGCTGAAAGTAAAATAGAATTACAAAAGTCAAAAGTGGATTTGGAAGTTGTCCACAAAGAAATTTCATCGCACCCGATCGAGAAACAAGTTGAGGTTAGCAAAGAACAAAATATTATCATCGACTCCACAAAAATTATTTTAAAGCCAATCAAAACAGAAGAAATTGTTGTTAGGGGTGTTACTGAGCAGACGATCGACGTCCAACAGCCATTGGTTCAGTCGCAAGCATCTGAGCACGGCGAGACAGTTGAGAAAGGAACCGAAATTTTAGAGGTACAAACACCGAGTAAAAGTTTTGAAGAGGTTTTAATTGACAAGAAAACTTCGGAAGAGCCTCAAAACGAGGTTGTTAAACAAGAAGAAATCATTCAGGACAAATCTGCTATCAAAGTTGAAGCAATTCCTGAAGTGAAAATAACCGAAGAGGAGAAGAGCGAAAAAACTGTCGGTGAAACAAAAAAGCCAAAAGGAAAATTCAAATTTCCTTCGTTTACTCTTCCGAAACCAGGTTTCAAAATGGGTTTTAAAAGTTTAGAACGCAAAAACGCCAAGGAAAAAACTGCAGCTTCAGAGACCGCTGAAACTGAAAAACAAGTTGAGGGCATTCAAGAAAAAAAAGATGATTCGGAAAAAAAAAGTAAAATTAAAATACATTTACCGCATCTGGTAACGAGAACCAATCAGAATGAAATAATCGTCGGCGATATTCCAGTTATACAAGATGATTCAAAAGTCGTCGTCGAATTGAAAAAATCGCACAGCGATTTGACTGAAGATTTCAAAAGAGCCGTTGAAGAAGAAGTTGTTAAAATTGAAAACGATGCTTTGCAAAAAACCCTCGAAAGACCAGATAAAAGTGAAAAAATTGATCAATCTTTCACGGAAGAGATTTCATCCGAAGCCCCTATCATTGCACTGATCATTGAAGACCATCCTGAAGAAAAAGTACAACAACCAGAATTTGAAAGTACTAATACAATAATTGAACCAACAATGCCTACAGATTTGAGTACAGCGTTTGAAGAAATAAAAACAGTTGAAATCATTTTAGAAACTCCAAACGAAATGCTGGAAAAGACGAGAGTCGTTGAGAAAAGACCACAGGATGAAATCGTCCTTGAGGAATCCCTCGTTGCCACCGACCAGACTAAGTTAGTTGTAGCGCCGTTGAAATGTGAAGCAACAACAGATGCATCAGTTTTAAACGCTGAAACAAACTTCAAAATTGAAACAACCGAACTCCAAACTGCTCCATCTGTTGAGTTAAAAACAGATATAAGTGGGCCAAGCGGAGAAATTGTAAAACTTGAGGAAGAAAAACAGTTAGATATTTTAACGGACACTCCGGATTTGACATTTTTGAAATGTCAGGGAGAAAAGGTAATTGAAAGTAGTGTCGTAATAACGGAAAGAACGGTTTTAAATGTGGCGAAAGAACACGTTGTAAGCGATAACGAAACAGAAGATGAGGATTCTAAAAAAGAAAAAGTTAAATCGGCTAAAAGTAAAATGAAATTTCCTCATTTTAAAATCGGACGCAAGTCCAAAAAACCTGATCAAAGTGAAGCCGCCGTAGAAAGTGAACAAGTCGTCATTCAAGAATCAACAGCAGAACATAACGTTGAAATTGTGACAACTGAAGAGGTGCAACAAGAAGCAGAAGAAAAAACTGACAGTTCAAAGACGAACACTTTAGAAACTAAGAGAGAGAAGAAAAAATTTCAAAATCCGTTCGCGAAAATTCACTTTGGTAGGAAGCAGCAGCAGAAGGAGGTGACAGTAAATGACGGCCACATCTACACGGATAACTCCACTCTTGGTAAGAAAAAGAAAGCCAATGTGATTTCTGAAACGAATGTTTACATCGTCGAGAATGATCTCCCAGAGTCGAGAGAGAACAAGACGATTGTTACAGAAAGTGAACAAGTTGTAGAGGGTGAATCAGTTGTTGAAAAAATATCTGAAACGGAAGTTGTTGAAAAAGAAATAACTCAGAAAAAAGAAAAAATAATAGAAACCAGCCAGGAACATTTAACTGATTCTGGTAAATCCAAAAAGAGCAACAAAATTTTGAATATTTTCCACCGCAATTCTGGCGAATACGACCTGGAGCATCCATCAAAAACAAACCAACCTCTCGTCGAGCTGATCAGCAGCAAGCCCAAACTCAGCACTTGCTCCACAGACGATGTCTCAAATTCAAAAACGCAAGAACCGCAGCAAACGACGCCTTCCAGCAAACATCAATCAAATTTAACCCTCGATTCATCGAATAAGCCAGCGTTCGAGTCCGATTGTAAAGTCAATTCGAGTAAGTCGGCGGAAAGCGTTCAGTTATCTAGTCCATCACAGAAACAAGTTCTCACCGATTCAAACGCAGATGTAACCTTCTCAACGTCAAACATTCAATCATCCACGTCAAAATTTGAAACAAGCACTCCACTCAAATCAATCACCGACCAAATGGACATTGTCACAACGACGACAACTTCTCAAGAAGTTGTGGTAGCAGCAGCAGCCACAGACGACAAACTTGATCTAGCACTCCAACCCTCACCAGAAGATCAGGACGAAGAAACTCAGAAACATCAACTCAACTGGACCGGATCGACAGGGCGCAACACCTCCTACTTCAGCACCGTCTCAAGGGTTACAACGTGCCACGACGAGCGAGCGCCGCTACAATTCGTCGTCGTCGCCATTGACTTCGGGACCACATTCAGTGGCTACGCTTTCAGCTTCACAAAAGACGTCGACAGCATTCACGTAATGAGAAAATGGGAGGGGGGCGATCCGGGTGTCACCAACCAAAAAACGCCCACCATTTTGCTGCTGACACCAGAAAAGAACTTCCATTCTTTCGGATTTACGGCCAGAGATTTCTATCACGATCTTAGCCAGAAGGAGGCAAAGAGGTGGCTGTATTTCGAGAAGTTCAAGATGGCGCTCCACTACAATGCGGTTGGTTCTGTGCGTGTTTAGTGTGTGTGTGTGTGTGTATGTGGTGTGTGTGTGCGTGTGTGTGTTGTGTGTGTCTAATCCGTTAGCCTGACTTCATTACATTAGATTACAGTTGGCTTTGTGTGTACGTGTGTGTATCTATGTTGTGTGTGTGTTTGTGTGTGTGTGTGTGTCAGTACTCATTATTTTATTGTATAAATGAATTTATGTAGACAACAGTGCATCCCAGCAGCACGTATTTCTACCGATTTTGAAGCCGCACACACACACACACACACACACACACGAAAATGTTGGCTGCCTGATTATTTTAATTTTTGAATGAATATGGTGCCAGCAGTCTTTACAGATTATTTCGACAAATTGCTATTTTTAACTGAGAAAAAATTTTTCAAATATTCAATTTACATTAATATTTCAAATACTTTAGTAATAAACATTCCCACATTAAATAATGACGAAAGCTAAGCGAAATTCAACACTTCTTTTTAAACACATGTTAGCTCGCGCGCACGCACACACACACATACACGCACACACACACATACATACAGTTCAAGCATCTCAACTTTGTATGTGAGCGCGTATATCTACCACTGAGTCATTCATCTATAAACAAAACGATTAAACATACTACAACACGCATAGCACTACCAGCATTAGCCGAAACTGAAAAATGATGTGAGTGTATGTGCTTGTGTATGTGTGTGTGTGTGTGTGTGTGTGTGTATGAATGTGTGTGTGAGTGTATATGTGAATTTGTGTGTATAACAATTTGGATACAATATTTCTAAACAAAAAATCACTTACGATGAATATTTAAAACGTATAAATGAATGAATGGGTGGATGAACCAACGAACGAACAAGCGAACGAACAAATGAATGAACAAATGAATGAATGAAAAACGAATAAATAAATAAATAAATAAATTTACTCATTGCCAACACCAGCGGCGTATTCATCGTAAATGAATTCCATGCTATCCGCCAATATCACGTTTCACACACACACACACACAAACACACACACACACACGTACGTACATATATACAAAATAAACACATAAATATTTGCTTCGTTCAACGCATTTAACAGATTACATAATTTTTCACCCAGACTTTCAACTAAGGTTAAACAGCCCGGTGAATAAACGAACGAACGAATGAATGAATGAACGAACGAATGAATGAATGAACGAACGAATGAATGAATGAATGAACGAACGAATGAATGAATGAACGAATGAATGAATGAATGAATGAATGAATGAATGAATGAATGAATGAATGAATGAATGAATGAATGAATGAATGAACGAATGAATAGAAAACACACACACGTATACACTATATTTTCAGGATGCTAAGTACCAAGATTAAACCGGCACATGAAACAGTAAATAAAAATGTTATGTGAGTACCTTCAATGTACATAAAAAGAAACTTAGATAATGAGAAGAAAGAGAAGAGAGAGAGAGTGAAAAAATGAGAGAGAGAGAGAGAGGAAGAGAGGGGAAAAAAAGAACAAAAAGTTAAACATACATATAAGAACGCAAAATATTAGCAGAACATTTATTGATTGAATGAGTGAAAGAACCGATAAAAAAAGTTATGGATGGATGAATGGATGGGTGATTGAACGAATGAATGAATGGATAAATAAATGAATGAATGAACGAACGAACGAACAACGGACGAATGATGGGTGAATGGATGAATGTTTAAAAAATAAATGAAACAAAACAAACAAACGACCCAAGATAAAATATTTTTTAAGATTTCAGTAGCAAACTACATTTTACTCAAGTGTTTTATCTTTGGTTGAAATGAAACATATTGATTTTTAATGCACATACATGCGCATAAACTTACATTTATCCATCCATCCATTAATCTATCCATTCATTCAATCAATCATTCATTCATTCATCCATTCATTCATTTATAATACATTCATTCATTCATCCATTCATCTATTCATTCATTCCATACTTATACGTATCCGTAAGTTTACAATTACATAAATTAAGATAATTAAGACCATAATATTATAATATAATATTAATTACATTTACGATATTAACAATAATTTATGATTATTATAGTTATAATTTTAATAATTATAGTTATAATTATGGTTTTTATTATGAAAGGATTTGACCAGTGAAACTGAAATTCAAGCAGCCAATGGCGTTTCGATGAAGGCTATAGATGTCTTTGCACATGCGCTAAAGTTTGTTGATGTTGTTGATGTTGTTGTTAGTGATGTTGGTGTTTTTGGTATTAATGTCTTTTTTGTTGTTGTTGATGTTGATGTGTTTGTCGATCCACATCATCATTGATGTCGTTGTTGATGGCAACATCAATGTTGATGCTGTTGTTGTTGATGTTGTTGTTGATGTCATTGTTGCTGATGTTGTTGTTTTTGTTGTCGTCGTCGTCGTTGTTGTTGTTGTTATTGCTGTTGCTGCTGCTGCTGTTGTTGTTGTTGAAGTGTTTGTTAATCAACCAATCAACCAATCAAACAACCAATCAATCAATCAATCAACCAACCAACCAAACAACCAATCAATCAACTAACCAATTAATCAATCAACCAATCAAACAACCAATCAATCTACCAACCAATCAACCAATCAAACAACCAATCAATCAATCAAACAACCAATCAACCAACCAACCAATCAAACAACCAAACAATCAATCAAACAACCAATCAACCAACCAACCAATCAAACAACCAATCAACCAACCAACCAATCAAACAACCAAACTAGATTCTTCCGAAACCACGCGCTCCTTGAAATAAGCGAGCAGAGTAACACGCCTTTAAACGAAGACGATATAAGGTCATTATTATTATAACTACTATTTATTATTATTACTATTTATTATTATTATTATTACTATTTATTATTATTATTATTATTGTTATTATTTAGATTAATAGGATTTCATAATCATAATCATATTTGGTATTTGGAGTTAGAAAATAAAAGGATATTCTTATTATTATTATTTATCATTATTATTATATTATTAATATTATTTTATTATTATTATTATTTTATTATTATTATTATTTTATTATTATTGTTGTTATTATTCAGGTGGGTGATCACGGTACCGGCCATTTGGAAGTCTCCAGCCAAACAATTCATGCGTGAATCAGCGTACAAGGTTGATGATGATGACGATGATGATGATGATGATGATGATGATGATGATGATGATGACGACGATGATGATGATAATAATAATTAGAATTAGAATTGATTGATAGCTCAATCTGTAAAATACGGAATTAAAAATCCGTTAAAGAAAATTAAAAAAAAGAGAAAATTTAAAGAATTTATGAAAAAGAAATAGAGAGAGATAGAGAGAGAAGGAGAGATGACAATAAAATATTGAGAGGTAGGTAGGAAGGAAGAAAGGAAGGTGGCCTTGCTTGTTGCACGCTGATTGGTTTATTCATTTCTTCAAAAAAAATGCTTCATCATCGCACCCTACTTTGCGTCGTATCAATCAAAGTCTCAATTTTACCGCATCATCATTACATCATCATCATTATCATCATCATCACCATCACATCATTTTCATCATCAGGCCTGCATAGCATCCCAGGAAAAACCAGACCAATTAATAATCGCCTTGGAACCGGAAGCAGCTTCAGTTTTCGTCAGACGCCAAAGATTAAAACAACTAATTCCGGAAGTGGTGGACGAGCTGAAAGACGCTCGTCACGCAGCTGCAGCTGCAACTAACGCAGCCACAGCTGCTGAAAGAGCAACTAACGCAGCCACAGCTGCTGCAGGAGCTTCATCTCCATCGCCGACGACAAAATCGCCCCCGTCGCCTGTTTTGTTGGATGTCATTGCACATAGGACTTCTAGATTAGGTGATGATGAAGATGTGGTTGTTGTGGTAGTCGTTGCTAATAATGATGATGATGACGACGGCTATGAAATTATTAATAGATTTAAATTCTAATGTTAACAAAGTTATCAAATTTTATTTTTTTAACTTTTCAAAGTCAAATTTTTAGCGCAGCCATCATCGTCACCATAACAATCCTCATCATTAAATCGTCATCATCATCATCCTCATCATTAAATCGTCATCATCATCATCGTCATCATTAAATCGTCATCATCATCATCGTCATCATTAAATCGTCATTAACATCATCATCATTAAACCGCTATCATCATCACAATCATTACATCATCATCATCATAACCGAGCAGACGATTCTGGATCTTTGAATCATAGTTTCACTTCGAACGCCATGTCGATGTCCTTCCAACGCTGCCCGTCACCCACGTCACTTCCGGTCTCTGTTGGTCACGAGATCGATATCACAGGTGGTGATGATGATGATGTTGATGATGATGGTTGTGATGATGGTTGTGGTGATGATGACGATGATGATGGTTGTGGTGATGATGATGATGGTTGTGATGATGATGTGATGATAGTTGTGATGATGATGATGATTGTGATGATGACGATGATGATGATGGTTGTGATGATGATGGTTGTGACGATGATGATAGTTGTGATGATGACGATGATGATGATGGTTGTGATGATGATGATGATGATTGTGATGATGATGGCTGTAATGATGAAGATGATGACGATGATGATTAGAAACTTGGCCATAACAGCATCATCATCACCACCACCCCCATCATCACCACCACACCCCCACCACCATCATCACCACCACACCCCCACCACCATCATCCTCATCACCACCAGACAACAGATTCATGGTGGCCGACTGTGGTGGTGGAACAGTTGACATCACAGTTTACGAGATGCTCTCAGCCACTGGGGGTCAACTCAAAGAGGTTTACAAAGCCACTGGTGGCCCATACGGATCGATTGGTCAGTTGGGGAAAAAATTTTGTGGTAAATTTTTTGAGGGTAAAACTTAGTGGGTAGTTTTTGGCAGAGGAAAATTTTCTGGCAGAGGGAATTTTTCATCATTTTTGTAAGATTCACCACACATATCTACAACTCACACGCAGTTATTTATACTCAATGGCAAGCAGAGTTTATTGACATTTATATTTATACAAATTTGAATTATTTGGAAGAATAAATATTGATATTTATGATATTTAAGTCTCACACTACAAACACACAAACACACTACAAACAAGTCTCTCTTTCTCACACTACAAACACACAAACACACTACAAACAAGTCTCTCTTTCTCACACACACACACACACACACACACACACACAAAACTACACATACACACCATCTCATACGTACACAAACAAAAACACACAAACAAACAAACACACACACAAACACAAACAAACATACAAACAAACAAGCAAACACACAAACAAACACAGGAGTCGACTTGGCGTTTGAGAAACTCCTAGAGGATATATTCGGCCGGGATTTCATCGACATTTTGAAACTGAAACGACCCGCGGGTTGGGTTGACCTCATGATGGCCTTCGAGTCTCGAAAGAGGGCTGCCAACCCCTTCAAAACCAAGCCCCTTAATGTTTCACTGCCCTTTTCCTTCATTGATTACCATAAAAAGTTCAGGGTTAGTTATTACTGTCGTTGTTTTCTTGTTTTTGTTATTGTAGCAGCAGAAGCAACAGCAGCAGCAGTAGTAGTAGTAGTAGCAGCTGTAGTAGTAGTTGTAGTAGTAGTTGAAGTAGTAGCAGCTTTAGTAGTAGTTGCAGTTGTAGTAGTAGTAGTAGTAGTAGTAGAAGTATCACAATCACATCATCAACCCAAACGTCATCATCATTATCACAACCATCTTCAGAACTCTACTGTGGAATCGGCAGTACGAAAATACAACAGCAAATACGTCAAATGGTCGTCACAAGGCATGCTGAGGTATCAATCCACCATCTTCATCACCATCGTCGTCATCTTCATCATCCAAATCACCAACAACCGCACAATCAGTCCGGCACCGTCATTATTATTATTATTATTATTATTATTATTATTATTTGTTATAATTATAATTATAACTATTATTATTTTTATTATTACAGGTTGATGCCAGAAGCCATGGAGGCTCTATTTCAACCAACGCTGGATAATATAACTGCTGCTATTAATAGCGTTATGTCGCAAGCTGAAGTTGTAGGTCTGTTTGTATGTTTGTTTGTATGTTTGTGTGAATGTTTGTATGTTTGTTTGTGTTTGTGTGAATGTTTGTATGTTTGTGTGTGTGTTTGTATGTCTGTTTGTGTTTGTGTGAATCTATGTATGTTTGTTTGTGTTTGTATGTTTGTTTGTGTTTGTGTTTGTGTGTTTGTTTGTGTTTGTTTGTATGTTTGTTTGTATGTTCGTTTGTGTTTGCATGTATGATTGTATGTTTGCTTGTGTGTTTGTCTGTATGCGTTTGTATGAATGTTTGTATGTATGTTTGTTTGTATGTATTTGTATGTCTGTATGTTTGTATGTTTGTTTATATGTTTGTTTGTTTGTTTGTTTGTATGTATGTATATGTGCTAGTTTGTATGTGTGTTTGTATTGTCTGTTGTATATAAAAGCAATATTGACAAAAGCAATAACACCATAATCGTCATTATCATCATCATCAATAACAACAACAACAACATCAACAACAACAAAAACAACAACAACAACAACAACATTAAAAACAACAACAACAACAACAGCAGCAACAACAACAACACTATCACAATCATCATCGTCGTCGTCTTAGATGCGTCATCATCATCATCACCAGCATCAGTAACGACAGAGCCATCATCATCAGCACTTTTATAAAAATAAAATATTTAGTAAGCTGATACTCTTGTTCCGTGCAGCAGGCAATTTCCACAATGAGGTCTTCCAGTCGCTTCAATCTTATGAACACACAGGAGCGTGGAGAGAGATATGGAGAAAGTGAGAGAGGGAAAGAAAGAGAGAGAGAGTGAGAGAGTAAAAAAAAGAGAGAGAAAGACAGAAAGAATCAGGCATGTACGTATGCAGGCAGAAAGAGAAAAAGAGAGAGAGGGAGGAGAGAGAGGAGAGAGAGGAAAGAGAGAGAGAGAGAGAGAAAACTACAAAAAAAATGATAATAAAAAAATGAGAAATTGAGTCCGCATACAAACATAGGGAAAAAGAAAGAATAGAAGGATAGAAGGAGAGAAAGAGAGAAAAAGAGAGAGAAAGAGGAAAAAA